ACAACAACAGCAGCAGCAGGATGAAAGTCGCCTGGGAATAAATGTAATTATCTTGAGTAAAAATTAACTTTGTGCTATTGTCTTATTTCCACAAAAATCTTAACCCTTCTTCCTAAACAATGACCATTTTGTACTACAGTGGACATAAAACCACCAGGCTCTTCAGTCTGGACGCCATATGCGACAGAACACGGGAGAACTGAAGAGGCCTCTGCCAGCACTTTCCACAGGATCAATTATCTGAGGCTTCTGGACAGAGCCCATGCCAGCTTTCACGTAGCAGCCACCTGTATTACGGTATCAGCTGAACAGCGGCTTCCTACTGCCTGCTGTAAAGTCGGAAAGTTCCAGGCCTAGTTCTTGGATGAGTTGAGTCATCAACCCAGTGGATGATTTCATCTGAATGGGGCTAAAGTTGGTTAGCACGCTAACGCCGCCTCATACTCAACGTGACTCAAGCTGTGGGTTTGCCAGAGTAGACATAATTATGCTAATCTCCAATAATCGTTTAATGTAACTAAATCTGTGTAATAATGGGATGGACCTGTATATTAGGAACACATGACCAAATCACTCAATACTGAGGTTACCCAACATTAAAGCTTATTTACAGACGCAACAATACACGAGAGCTAGCAGACTAGCTAGCTCAAGTGGCCCGTCCGGTGAGAGATTTGCTTCAAGCACCGCTATCAAAATTCATGACACCAAGAGAAGTAGAAAACACTACTAACGTCCAAAATTTGATTAAACCCATAAGTATGAACTGGCACGCCATTATTCAGTTTGTTAACAATACGTTTGAATGACTGAAACTCGAATACCAGCATACCGTTAGCTGAGCTAGTTTCCAGAGGCTGCCTGTTGGAGCCACATGAGTTAGCATAAAGCTAACAGGGGTTCGGAGGTTCGGACTGACAGGCGACGAGAAACCACGACGAAGCGTGGCATTACACCCTATCGCTTTCTCGGTCAGCTAACAGCTCGCAAACAACCGGTGGCCGGTTTTAAAAAGCGGCTCAGACTGTACCGAGTGTTCGTCACGATATTGTACCTTAACATCTTCCTCTTCGTCCTCGCCTTCCCATTTGTCCAGCGCTGCCGCCTTTTTAATCGGTTCCTCCGGCTCGAAGTTGTCAGCGTCTGTAAAAACAACAACATGAGAGTCGTTAGGTCAGTCCACATCTGACACCCGGAGTTAACAATGAGAGGTGTATTAGGCCCTTAAAACATCGAGTGCGACAAGTAAATGTTGTACAAATAGCCATCCTTCCCAACTTAGTTTCTCACCCCAGTCCGCCATGTTGGCTGTGTTGCTTGTGTGACAGGCTCGCTGTACAGTCAGTGCAGCAGCCCGTTGGCCACGTTCAGAAACAGCTCCCACCTTCTGGGCGGCACTCCGGCCTTATCTAATGTCAACGGAGCACTTTCAGCACAACGACCCCGATATAACTAATCTCATCACGCCTTTATTTATTTCAATTGTAAACATGAGACACTACAAGCTAGCTGAAGCCAAGTTCCACACATTTTTAAGTCGAGCATTGTAGAGTCAAAACCTATTCTTAATCTCTTTTGGATACATTTGGATACACTACATATTATTTTAATCGAAGAAAAAAAATTTAATTAATAGCCTTAATTTTAACTGAATCTCATAAGGGAGTATAATAAAGTATATACATTAAAATGGTTTTTAATCATTCTTGTGGAGAAAGCACAGTGCCTCAGATGTATGATATTGATGGGAATTGAAATGGAAACGGTGATGAATAATTCCTCAGTGATATATTAAAATAAATAATATTTTTGAAGGAGCAAGGTTGAGCTGGAAAGGATGTGCAGCAGGTTAGGGTGATTGAGATAGAGATGGAAATGTAGTAATGAATAAAGTTTGCTGAGAAAGTGGAAAGGCTACTTTGAGGAGCTCATGAATGACGAAAATGAGAGAAAGTTGAGGATGGATGGAGGACAGTGAATGAGAAAGTGCAGAGGATTAGTAAAGAGGAAGCAAGGAAAACTATAAATAGGATGAAGAGTGAAAAGGCAGTTGGTCCAGATGACATAACTGTGGAGAAGACATCCAGGAGAGAGGGCAGTGGACCAGATTAGTCTGAGAGGATGCCTAGGGGATGGAGAAGAAGTGTACTAGCACCCATTTTTAAAAATAAGAGTGATGTACGACCCCTAAATGAAGCAACCGAAAGAAGAAAAGGAATTGTCTGTGATAGTGGACCTCATCACAGCCACAGAATCTGCCATACGGATTAATAAATTATCACAGACAGAAGCAGAGCAAATCAGGATGAAAGTCTCAGCCACGCTCTCCAGTGCCAAAGTCCCTCCATCCAACCTCACAATACAGGAAAAGAAGGCCGTCGCTTCCCTGAGCAAAGACCACAACATCACTGTTTTACCAGCTGATAAGGGAA